GAGGACAGTGGTGCCATCTTGGCTCACTGCAACCTCTGCCTCATGGGCTCAAGCAATTCTCTTGCCTCAGCCTCCCGAGTAGCTGGAATTATGGGCACGCCCCCCCACACCCACCTAATTTTTGTACTTTTAGTAGAGACGGGGTTTCACCATGTCAGCCAGGTTCCTCTCAAACTCTGAACCTCAAGTGATCTGCCCGACTCGGCCTCCCAAAGTACTGGGATTACAGGTGTGAGTCACTGTGCTCCATCCCTTTGCACTATATTTAAGTGATGAAATTTTCGGACACTGAGGTAGCCTCATTCCACAAGTTTGGATCTGAGGCATTTTCACTATTGCTTCCTCCCATGTATTTCCCAGTTTGCAGGTCAGTTTCTTGTTTTAACTCATCAGTGACACAGTGGGTTATATAGCTTTGAATTTCAAACAATATATTTTTAAATTTCTTTTTGCTGATTTTTATCTATGTTAATTTTAACTGGACATGTTCCATAGATGGGCATCACTAAATATTTTTTTCATTCTGTAATTTGATGGATTTTCACATCTCAAGCCAGCTAAGAGTGTGGGAAATATGACTGCTTAAAGCACAGGTATCACAAGTGATTCGTATTCACGATGGTAATCCAGATAAGGGTGTACCATTGTACCTGGCCCACAGCACTCAGTAACTGTCACCTTTGATTTCTTTTATTTATTTATTTATTTGAGACGGAGTTTTGCTCTGTCCCCCAGACTGGAGTGCAATGGCTTGATCTCTGCTCACTACAACCTGCGCCTTCCAGGTTCAAGTGATTCTCCTGCCTCAGTCTCTCTCTTTTTCCTTTTTTGAGATGGAGTCTTGCTCTGTTGCCCAGGCTGGAGTGCAGTGGCGCGATCTCGACTCACTGCAAGCTCCACATCCCGGGTTCACACCATTCTCCTGCCTCAGCCTCAAGAGCAGCTGGGACTACTGGTGCGCGCCACCACGCCCACCTAATTTTTTTGTGTTTTCAGTAGGGACAGGGTTTCACTGTGCTAGCCAGGATGGTCTGGATCTCCTGACCTCATGATCTGGCCACCTTGGCCTTCCCATGTCCTGGGATTATAGGTGTGAGCCACGGTGCCCTGCCCTGCCTCAGTCTCTTGAGTAGCTGGGATTACAGGCACCCGCTACCACGCCCAGCTAATTTTTGTATTTTTACTGCAGATGAGCTTTCACCATGTTTGCCAGGCTGGTCTTGAACCTCAAATGATCTGCCCGCCTCGGCCTCCCAAAGTGCTAGGATTACAGGCGTGAGCTACCGCGCCCAGCTTGTCACCTTGATTTAAATGAATGTAGCTTTTTTAGTGTCTTGGTGTTTGTTAACTTCTGTGGAGTTTGATACTGCTCATTTTGCTGCTTGTTCTGTTTTTCCAGAGTCCCCTTATCACTTGACCTGCTGTCACATTATATTTGATTTATTACAGATACCCCATCAGCCTGGGTCTCTCTTTACAGCCTTTGTACACATACGTCTACACATAGGGACTTAGATTATCTCAGGATCCCACATCCTCACTGTCCCTCATCCCCCCTACCCTGCCACCCCCAGCCAGTACCTTTCTGAAGTTTTCTAGTCCTTCCTTTTCGTTTGTGCTCCTTAAAGCCCAGCCCCATACCTGACTTTGGTTCCCACTGAGTTCTGTTACAAGGATTCCACATTTGTGGATATTAAATCTTTGGCAAGGTCATTTACCTGGGCTGAGTAAGGCTGATCCTCCTTCCTAAACACCCACCCAATGGGAGAAGCTGATACTCAACATGCAAACCTTGTTTTTTAATTCTCCAGGCAAAGTGATGTTGGAAGACATTCTGGCGGGGGTGGTGTGTGAAGATTTACAAATAATTTTTGAATATCTGCTTCGTGATAGGTCTCAGAGGTGCCTTGTGGGTGTGGCTTTGGAGGGATGATTACGAGGAAATTGTGGATATTAGGGAAGTCAGGAAAGGAAAATATCACTCACAATTCAACAATTCAGAGAAAGCTCCTAAGGGAATTTCTGGCTGCTTGATGCCCAGAGGCCAGGTCCTCACTTTGTATCAAGGCTCAGGACTATGGATAGAGAATTTAAAAGGGCACCAAAAAAACTCAGTAATCAAGATAAACAAAATTTTAATGCAATATCTTTAAAAATACAAATTGATGCATAAAGAAAACACCCATGTTGAACAAAACGGTTACAATGTTGCCTCCTCTTCAACACCACCCCGCCCTCCAGAAGTTTCTTCCAAGCCGCACCTGTAAGATAAGAAAAAGATAAAATAAAAACCTGTAAGAGAAAAGATAAAAATGGGGTGGGCCTGGGGGCTCATGCCTGTAATCCCAGCACAATGGGAGGCCAAGGCAGGTGGATCACTTCAGGTTGGGTGTTCAAGACCAGGCTGGGCAACATGGCAAAACACCGTTGCTACTAAAAATACAAAAAAAAAAAAAAATTAGCTGGGCATGGTGGCAGGCACCTGTAATCCCAGCCACTTGGGAGGCTGAGGCAGGAGAATCACTTGAACCCGGGAGGCAGAGGTTGCAATGAGCCGAGATCACACCATTGCACTCCAGTCTGGGTGACAGAGCGAGATTCTGTCAAAAAAAAAAAAAAAAAAAAGACTCTCAGGAATTTCTGGCTCAAGTCTCCCATCCTCACCACCACGACCACCAGGCGGTCTTTTGCTGTTCACCCAGGTCCAGCCTCCATCCCCTAAAATCCCGGGGAAATGTGACAAGACTCTCCCCATCTCCATTCCAGGAGTTTGCCGCAAGCCAATCTTGCTCTCTCTGAAAACAGCCTTGGGGTTCCTTGTCCTGGTACACCCTCCTACTGTAGGGGACACAGGGCCAGTGTTACCTACAAACCAGGAGTCCCGGCAAAGCATCACCTCTCCCTGAGCTGCTTCTGTCCCAACCTGGCATCTGCTCGGAGAAGGGCACACCAGGGAGGAGACTTGCGTGGTGAGCTCAGGTCACCTTCAGGGGAAGGTCAGTGCCTACCGGCCAACCTGGACCACATTTTCCAGAATCCTTCAGCAGTACTGCGATGCTATTGTGGTCAGCAGACCTCATTGGCTCACAGTGAAACTTGTCAATGTCACCTGGGCATCTTAACAGTGGGCTCCTAAACTTGGCTGTATGTGCTGTGCAGATGTCAGAGGCACCCTGTGTGGGCAAAACCAACTGCTTTCCCGCCTCTCTAGCTCCAAAACTACAATCCCCAGAGGCCTCTGTGGTCACTTCTACTACCCATCATACACACCTTCCGTGTCACGTTAACATCAGAAGCACTTCTGGTCTGTGGCCCCGGCTGGTTAGGCTGGTTGGCACCCAGTAAGGCCTCCCTCCAGGTCTTCCCCACACCTTTGCACCTTGTTATCTGACCGGCTTCAGGATCTGCAGGGAGCATCCGTGTTCCATGGGTGCCCTATAGGCAGTCAGCATGCCCCTCTGTGTGTCCCTGTGTTTCTCACGGGGATGAAGGCTGGGAGCCGTAGAGCTGTCTCAGAACTCAGGTGCTCTCCTGTGGGCACCTGCAGGCCATTTTCCTTTCACTGGAGCCCACAGGGTTAGAGACAAACCCTCACTCTGGGGCTTGGGGACAAGGGCTTCACTCCCTGACCTGAGTTTGGAGCTAAGCTTGAGGGTGCTTGGTCAGCCTGGGGCCCCTCTGGATGGGAATTTGCTGCCCTGGTGATTTCTGTGACATCCCTGAGCCCAACTGTGGGGCTCTGGAGTGGACTGTGCTTCACCTCCACTGAAGGGGTTTTCCACCTGAGAGTCAAAAAAGAGGTGAGATTACCTGTAATTCCATCTTGGCTGTCAAGAGGATGGATCCCCTTACCTTTTCTTGCCCTGGAGGCTGCCTGGTTGGTACTGGGGAAAGTTCATTCCTAGTCCTGGAAGAGCAGCTCATTCTAACTGGAGTCCTCCCTCAGCATTCCTTTCTGCTCCATCCATACTGCAGTCATGAAGTCGTTAATTGTAAACACATATGGAATGGTTTAAATAAAAGTACAGAGATGTGTGTGCTTAATTGTTCAGTGATGTGGATGAAGGGCAGGGACATCAGAGATGCCTGTGACTTCAAGGGGTTGGGGAGGACTCCCAGAAGTAGGGCTGTCTCAGCTGCCCCTGACCAGTTTGATACCTTGGAGATTAGGGGGAAGGCATTCCAGTGGGAGGCGCGAAGGAAGCACAGTCTCAGAGGCTGGGCTCTTGCTATGGTGTGGAAGGATTATGGTGGCCAAGGGCCTTCTTAAGATTGATTTTTAAATATACATAGGTGAAGATACAGACTAGCTATTCACACATAGAACAAGGAGAAGCTTGATACAGGCTAACTTGAATTTTACATTCGAGAGCATTTTCAGCTTCTGGAAATTGGGACATTTCACCCAAAATTCCAGATTCCCTGCTTCTCTGAAAATAAATCTGCCCTAACCCTTCACTAATTTTTTTTTTGAGACAGAGTTTCACTCTTGTTACCCAGGCTGGGGTGCAGTGGCACAATCTCCACTCACCACAACCTCTGCCACCTAGGTTCAAACGATTCTCTTGCCTCAGCCTCCTGAGTAGCTGGGATTTACAGGCATGTGCCACCACGCCTGGCTAATTTTCTTGTACTTTTTTTTTTTAGTAGAGACGGAGTTTCACCATGTTGGTCAGGCAGGTCTTGAACTCCTGACCTCCGGTGATCCACCCACCTTGGCCTCCCAAAGTGCTGGGATTATAGGTGTGAGTCACCTCACTTGGCCAGTCTGCACTATTTCTTAGTGTCAGACAATTTGAGCTAAACAATGTCTTTCTCATTAGGATGTGACCTTCAGGGTTTAATTTTTGTATTTTTAGTATAGACAAGGTTTCTTTTTTCTTTTTTTTTTTTCAGGTAGATTTTCACTCTTGTCACCCAGGCTGGAGTGCAGTGGCATGATCTCAGCTCACTGCAACCTCCACCTCCTGGGTACAAGCAATTCTCCTTCCTCAGCCTCCCGAGTAGCTGGGATTACAGGTGCCTGCCACCACACCCGGCTAATTTTTTATAGTTTTAGTAGACACGGGATTCACCAGGTTGGGCAGACTGGTCTAGTGTCAAACTCCTGATCTTCAGTGGTCTGCGGGCTGCAGCCTCCCAAAGTGTGGGATTACCTGGCCTACACTGGCTAATTCCTTGTGTGTTTAAAGAGATGGGGTTTCACCATGTTGGCCAGGATGGTCTTGATCTCCTGACCTTGTGATCTGCTGGCCTCGGCCTCCCAAAGAGCTGGAATTAGAGGTGTGAGCCACTGCACCTGGACTCAATGTAGCTTTTTATCAAAGTATTTATGTAGGAAAAATTAATCAAAGGGCACAAGCATTTCAATACTTACGTTGTTTAAGATGAAATCTGTGGCTGGAAGAGTGCCAGACACATAAAAATGTTTCGTGCATGAAGGAATCACAACTTAAATAAACAAATTTGAAGGAAGTAAGTAAAAAATGATTTTCTGTTGTTTGTTTTGTTAAGTTATTTTGGAAATGTGATTAATCATGTATGTCAAGGGAGTTGTTAAGAATTTCCAGATACTGTGATATGTATGACATCATAATTATACCAAATAAAGCAAGGCTATTTTAGGAAATTAGGTTTCACTGCCAAGGACCTTTACATGAGAAGATAAATTAAAATTACTGTTAAATTTGTAACAATCAGATGGACTGGCAGGCAAATTGTGTCATTTTTTTCTCAGCATTTTTTCTTTTCCTTGATTCAATAAAACAAAGTTAAATGCCAGCTATCTGCAGAACACTCACTAGACTATGTTTAATGATATGTGAAACACAGCCTGCACACTCACAGATTCTTGCCATGGTCCTGTTCCCTTCTTTTCAAAACCTGTGTTACCCTGTGGCTAGATTTCTCAATGAGATGAAAGAGAGAGAGGAATGAGAACCATCTTCTTTGAGGTCGCTCTGCTCCACTCCTGCAGGTAGACAATGACCTCTCCGGTGAGGCTGTTATCCTTGGCTGGGGGGTAGTGGTCTTAATCCTAGAAAAGAGGCCTCTCAGGGTGGAGAGGTGATTTAAATCCTTACCAGATAGACACAGCTCCCCACCTCGTCCAGACTTTCACAAACCCAAACTGGAACCACAGAAAAACGACTGACAACCGGCCACATGCCCCAGGCAGAGATGCAGGGAGAGGCTGACCAGAGGGAAGGTCAACGTACAAGATACCACCCTCCGGCGCACAGGGCACATGTATCCCAACACACACACACACACACACGGACACACACGGACACAGAGTGAAAGAGTAAGAAAGGAGAGAGAGAGAAATAAGAGACGTAGGCACACACACAAATGCACAAAAACATATGGCAGTGGCAGGGTAACACCCACTCCCAGGCAGCCCCTGAGGCTGCCGGGTTCTGCTCTCTGTGACTATGACCCGTGGGTAAGAGAGCAGCCCATGGGCACACAAGCAAATCTCTCCTCTTTTGAAGAGACTCACTGGCACACCGTCAGTCGGTGCAGGCCTCAGCCTGGGATCCCACGCTGCTTCCCAGGCCCTCCACCCGCGGTTTCTTCCTCCTGGACGACCCTCCGCGAATCCTGGCCTCCAAGACCATCCTGTCTATGCCCTGGCGAGGGTTGGTCTTAGCCCCGACTCTGACTAATCCCTCTAACCCCAGGTGCTGGGGAGGTGGACGCAAGAGAATCACTTGAACCCGGGCGGAAGACTTTGCAGTGAGCTGAGATCCCGCCACTGCACTCCAGACTGGGTGACAGTGAGACACCGACTACATTGAAAAAAAAAATATGGTGGAGCGGGGGCTGCGGGGACTGAGGTGGTGTCAGGTGAAGCGAAGATTGGGAGAGAGGCCTCCTTGACGCTCCGCAAATCCTGGCCTGAGGCTGGGATCTCTCACTGCCTTCCCGGAGATCTGCCTGAGGTTTTTTCCTCCTGAGGTTTCTTCCTGCTGGGTGATTATCCGTGAATCCCGGCCTGTAGAGACCATCCTGTTAACACCCTGGCCAGGACTGCTCTCAGCCCCGACTCTGACGCACTATCACACAGGGCTACTACTTCGCCAAGTCTCAGGGACCCATCCCCAGAAAATGGTGTCAATCGCTGTGACCAAAACGGCGGCTCAGGCCTCGCGCATGAGCACTGGCGAGGCCGACTCCCCCTTTGCTCCGGAGAGTCAGACTGGGGACCCCTTAAAAAATGGCAGAGACATGACGCTACAGGGACTGGGGCAGCGGTGGCAGCAGCAGAGCAGTCCAAGGCGGCGGGTGGGAAGAGGACTAGGAGAGGGGCCTGTGCGAGAGCCAGGGTCAGACCCATAGGAGTCCTATCGTCAGGACCTTCTTGATTGGTCTTCTGCTTTGGTTCCCGGTGGAGGAAGAGCTTCGGGGTTCCCGCTTGTCTCTCTGGACACCTCTTCGAATCCAATAACGGATCTGAGTGGGTGATCAGGAATGGGGTTACAATGTAGGGAGGAGGGAAGGGCCTCGCTGGGGCACAGAAAGATCCCAAGAGCCGCAAGGCCTGCTGTCTGCTGAAAATAAACTGGCCCATGAGCTCACTGCCTCCTTCCTTCCTGAATGGAGCAGTAGTTTGCCTTTGTCTCATAGGCCCGGGGAATCCAAAATCCCGACACAGCTTTCCACAACACATGCAACAAGAGACAGAGGCAAGTCCGAGATAGAGCCAAAGTGACCACACGTGGCACTGACGTCCCCTAAGAGCAGATGGAGTGAGCGTGTGTCTTTGACACCGTATGGGACGATGTTGAGACGGACAGAGAGGTTGAGGTGTGAGCCCGTGGGCCACTGGGATCTCCCACAGAAAACTGAGGAAAAGCCAAGCACACTTGAAAACCTGCGAGACAAGGACTTTGTCCGAGTACAAGCCACATACAGGGATGCCTGCCAGAGGGGCCCAGAGGTTTTGACAAAGTATACCCCACAGACATCCCGCCACCAGACCGCTCACCTGACACCACCTCCCGTGATAACCAACAAATCCCAATCCCTTTGGCTGCCTGAAATCCGTGGCAGTCAAAAGATTCAGTGCTTGAAGACACTTTCCCCAGGAGAAGAGGAATATGAAGGACCTCAGGAAAAACAGAAAAAGAGAAGGGGGGAGGCAACACTGCCTTTCCCGGCAGGCAAAGGTCACCATGGTGGGGTTGCTTCATGCTAGCCAAGGACTGAACACGCAGCCATCACATGGGACCTGAGGACCAAGGGAAGCCCCTGCCATAGACAGGTATGAGGCCCAGAGATCCAGAGTAATCAAACCTGAGCAGTCAATGAGAAATAGGATAGGAGACAGAAGCAATCATGAAACAAAAATGGAGGAAGTATCTCTCTGATGAACTCGGAACTGTTTTCTGTTAAACACAATTATCCAGACAACGAAGGTTCTACGCTTCTCAGACAGGAAGCGGAAGGGCAGAGGAAATGCTACACCTGTCCTAGAAGACAAGGCCAGTCACGCTCACCTACCGCTCGTGCCAGGCAAGCCACCCAGCCATGAGGTGAAACAGGGAGAGACACGTGTGGAAGCCAAGAGCTCCAGGGTCATGGAACCTGCCCAAGCCAGCAGAAACAGGTTTGGAGAGAGAGACCGTCACGACACGGATCTCCCACGGCTGTCTCCCTGACGGACTGGGAAGCGATCTGTGTTGAAGACATTCAGCCAGACCGGGAAGCATCTAGGCCCCTGAGAAACGGGGGAGACAGAGCAAGAGGGAGGGCAGAGCAGAGGCCGGAGCCCAGGCCGCTTACTGCTCGGTGCCACCGCCGGAGGCCTAAGGGGAGGGTTGCCCAAATAACGACTTGTCCAGAGAGGCCAGCGTTCCAGGGACTCGGAGGCTTGGCATCTCCCCTTCCCGGCTTCCTCTTCAAGCTTCTGCCGGGGTGTGGCTTCATGTCTCAGAGAAGCGCCGTGAAAAGGTCCAAGCGTCTCCTCTGAGGCGGGTGTGCTCCTCTCTTGCAGGGCGACGAGCTCCTCTGGGGCTTTTTGTCCCTGGCTGGACTGTGGTTATCTTGATCCTAGGAGAGAGTCCGCTGGCTCGGCAAGGGTAATGAGATTTCCACAGCTGCGGGGAAGACTCATCTCCTCACGTGGTCAAGGCCCTCAGGGACCCAAAGTGGAACGGCGGCGGAAACCATTGACAAGCCGCCACATGACCCAGGCACAGAGGCAGAAAGAGGCTCAGCAGAGCCAGGCCGACACGCAAGAAGTCGCTTTTGGGCGCACAGAGCGCGAAAGTCCGAACACGCACACGCGTACGGGCGCGCATACAAACACACACACACACACACACACACACACACACACACACACACACCGGCAGAAAGAGGGAACGACGCAGAGAGTGAGGGCCAGAGAGAGAAGAGAGAATGGGAGAGACACGGACACACGCAGTCACACAGCAGCGGCACAGAAACACACCCCCGCAGGCAACCCCTGACGCTGCAGGCTTCTGCTCCGGGCGTGAAGGCCCCTCGGGGGAGAGAGCAGCCCACGGACACGCGGGCGGACCTGTCTTGCACATCACGGGGCCAAGACTTTTGGGGAGACTCACCCCAACAGCGTCCGGGCAGGCCTGAGGCTGGGACGCCGCGCCACTTCCCCCGGACTCCGCCTGCGGTTTTGTCATCCTGGACGGCGCATTGCGACTCCCGGCGTCGTCAGTCCGGAGACGTTCCTGTCGACCCCGTGGAGAGGTGAGGCAGGAGCCTCGCAGCCCCGACACCCAAGCACCGCCACGGAGGGCTCCTGCTTTGCCAAGCCTCGGGGCCGGTTTCTAAGACAACCGTGGGAATCACTGTGACGGGAGGGGCTGCTGGAGCCTCGCGCATGCGCACTGGCCCTGCCGCGCCGGGCCCACTCGCGCTCCCCACCTGGAAGTCAGCCTGCGGCCCCTTTAAACAACGGCGCCTGCGCTGGGCGCCGGGGCCCGTGATGGGGTGGGAGGGGACGTGTGTGGTGGGGCAGGGGGGGGGGGGGCCGCTGGGGACTCCCGCTGCAGCCCAGGCGGCCGCCGGATCCGGGCTCCGGCAGGGGGCGGCGTGGGAGAAGGGGCCACAGTCATCCCAGTGCCAAAACCCCCGGAGTCCTGTCTTCAGGACCTCCTTGAGCTGACTTCCACCGGAGGAGGGGGAGCTTCAGGGCGTCTGCTGGGGTCTCAGGACTCCTCTTCAGATGGGATTTTGGACCCCTCCGGGTGAGAAAGGATGGGCTCGCCATCATCTGCTGAGGCAGGCGGGGCCTCACTGCAGCACAGAATCATCCCCTGGGCCTTAAGGCGTGGTGTCAGCTGAAAATTCACTGACCCATGAGTCCTCGGCCTCCCTCCCCCTCGGAAAGAGCAGCGGCCTTCCCCAACCCCCACCCCCCACGCTTGCAAAAGCCCCGGGGCTCCTGCAAGCTGCTATTGCCTTCCAGGACACGCGGAAACAGGGACAGGGGCGGTTCCGTGGCGGAGCCCATGGCCCCACGCGTGGCACTGGCGTATCCCCGAGCCGACGATGGGAATGTGTGCCAGGCCGGGCATACGGGGCGACGGCGAAACCAACAACGGTGTCCAGGCCCGTGCCTGGTGAAAGAGGGTCCCAAGGGACCTGTCCGTCCATTCCAAGGGAAACCAAAGAAGGCCCGGGATCCAGGAGGGGCCCAGAAGATTCACGGAGTCAGTCCACCCAGGAGCAGAGGAGAGGCTGTCCCTCAAGAATGAGACGGGAAGTGCAGAGGGGAAATGCCACACCGCCTGTCCAAGAAGACCAGGCCAGTCACGCTCGCCTACCGCTCGTGCCAGGCAAGCCACCCAGCCATGAGGTGAAACAGGGAGAGCAAGACAGCTTCCCTGTCGGAGACACGTGTGGAAGCCAAGAGCTCCAGGCTCATGGAACCTGCCCAAGCCAGCAGAAACAGGTTTGGAGAGAGAGACCGTCACGACACGGATCTCCCACGACTGTCTCCCTGACGGACTGGGAAGCGATCTGTGTTGAAGACATTCAGCCAGACCGAGAAGCATCTAGGCCCCTGAGAAACCGGGGAGACAGAGCAAGAGGGAGGGCAGAGCAGAGGCCGGAGCCCAGGCCGCTTACTGCTCGGTGCCACCCCCGGGGGCCTAAGGGGAGGGTTGCCCAAAGGCCGACTTGTCCAGAGAGGCCAGCGTTCCAGGGACTGGGAGGATTGGCATCACCCCTTCCCGGCTTCCTCTTCAAGCTTCTGCCGGGGTGTGGCTTCATGTTTCAGAGAAGCGCCGTGAAAAGGTCCAAGCGTCTCCTCTGAGGCGGGTGTGCTCCTCTCTTGCAGGGCGACGAGCTCGTCTGGGGCTTTTTGTCCCTGGCTGGACTGTGGTTTTCTTGATCCTAGGAGAGAGTCCGCTGGCTCGGCAAGGGTAATGAGATTTCCACAGCTGCGGGGAAGACGCATCTCCTCACGTGGTCGAGGCCCTCAGGGACCCAAAGTGGAACGGCGGCGGAAACCATTGACAGGCCGCCACATGACTCAGGCACAGAGGCAGAAAGAGGCTCAGCAGAGCCAGGCCGACACGCAAGAAGTCGCTTTTGGGCGCACAGGGCGCGTAAGTCCGAACACACACACGCGTACGGGCGCGCATACACACACACACACACACACACACAAACCGGCAGAAAGAGGGAACGACGCAGAGAGTGAGGGCCAGAGAGAGAAGAGAGAATGGGAGAGACACGGACACACGCAGTCACACAGCAGCGGCACAGAAACACACCCCCGCAGGCAACCCCTGACGCTGCAGGCTTCTGCTCCGGGCGTGAAGGCCCCTCGGGGGAGAGAGCAGCCCACGGACACGTGGGCGGACCTGTCCTGCACATCACGGGGCCAAGACTTTTGGGGAGACTCACCCCAACAGCGTCCGGGCAGGCCTGAGGCTGGGACGACGCGCCGCTTCCCCCGGACTCCGCCTGCGGTTTTGTCATCCTGGCCGGCATATTGCGACTCCCGGCGTCGTCCATCCGGAGACGTTCCTGTCGACCCCGTGGAGAGGTGAGGCAGAAGCCTCGCAGCCCGGACACCCAAGCACCGCCACGGAGGGCTCCTGCTTTGCCAAGCCTCGGGGGCCGGTTTCTAAGACAGCCGTGGGAATCACTGTGACGGGAGGGGCCGCTGGAGCCTCGCGCATGCTCACTGGCCCTGCCGCGCCGGGCCCACTGGCGCTCCCCACCTGGAAGTCAGGCTGCGGCCCCTTTAAACAAGGGCGGCTGCGCGGGGCGCCGGGGCCCGGGATGGGGTGGGAGGGGGCGTGTGTGTGGTGGGGCAGGGGGGCGGGGGGGCCCCTGGGGACTCCGGCTGCAGCCCAGGCGGCCGCCGGATCCGGACTCCAGCAGGGGGCGGCGTGGGAGAAGGGGCCGCGGGCATCCCAGTACCAAGACCCCCGGAGTCCTGTCTTCAGGACCTCCATGAGCCGACTTCCACCGGTGGAGGGGGAGCTTCAGGGCGTCAGCTGGGGTCTCAGGACTCCCCCTCAGATGGGATTTTGGACCCCTTCGGGTGAGAAAGGATGGGCTCGCCATCATCTGCTGAGGCAGGCGGGGCCTCACTGCAGCACAGAATCATCCCCTGGGCCTTAAGGCGTGGTGTCAGCTGAAAATTCACTGACCCATGAGTCCTCGGCCTCCCTCCCCCTCGGAAAGAGCAGCGGCCTTCCCCAACCCCCACCCCCCACGCTTGCAAAAGCCCCGGGGCTCCTGCAAGCTGCTATTGCCTTCCAGGACACGCGGAAACAGGGACAGGGGCGGTTCCGTGGCGGAGCCCATGGCCCCACGCGTGGCACTGGCGTATCCCCGAGCCGACGATGGGAATGTGTGCCAGGCCGGGCATACGGGGCGACGGCGAAACCAACAACGGTGTCCAGGCCCGTGCCTGGTGAAAGAGGGTCCCAAGGGACCTGTCCGTCCATTCCAAGGGAAACCAAAGAAGGCCCGGGATCCAGGAGAGGGCCAGAAGATTCACGGAGTCATCCACCCAGGAGCAGAGGAGAGGCGGTCCCTCAAGAATGAGACGGGAAGTGCAGACGGGAAATGCCACACCGTCTGTCCAAGAAGACCAGGCCAGTCACGCTCGGCTACCGCTCGTGCTAGGCAAGCCACCCAGCCATGAGGTGAAACAGGGAGAGCAAGACAGCTTCCCTGTCGGAGACACGTGTGGAAGCCAAGAGCTCCAGGCTCATGGAACCTGCCCAAGCCAGCAGAAACAGGTTTGGAGAGAGAGACCGTCACGACACGGATCTCCCACGACTGTCTCCCTGACGGACTGGGAAGCGATCTGTGTTGAAGACATTCAGCCAGACCGAGAAGCATCTAGGCCCCTGAGAAACCGGGGAGACAGAGCAAGCGGGAGGGCAGAGCAGAGGCCGGAGCCCAGGCCGCTTACTGCTCGGTGCCACCCCCGGGGGCCTAAGGGGAGGGTTGCCCAAAGGCCGACTTGTCCAGAGAGGCCAGCGTTCCAGGGACTGGGAGGATTGGCATCACCCCTTCCCGGCTTCCTCTTCAA